GTCCAGGAGGCATCCTTACCAGATGCCCGAGCCACCTCAATTGGCTCCTCTCGACCTGGAGGAGCAGCGGCTCTACTACGAACAGGTGGAATTTACGCAGCTCATTTACACACTTTTCCTGAAGATAGAAGAGTTTGTTGAATCTGACGTGACATGTTCGTACGAACCCTTTGTACCAACAAAAGTAAGAGAAATTTAGGATAAGAATACGAACATGTTCTTGCATGAGGCCCATTGTGTGCGAGTCAGAACTGGGCCAGACAAATGTTATGTGGGAATTATGAGTTTAGTTAAGTTGGAATTTAATTTGTAATTATCTATGTAAATATTAATACACAGGGGTAAAGCAAGGCGTAGAAAACAAAGTCAAAAAAACATTTTACAATTTAATTCTGAGTTGGTCCTCCTTTGGCTGCAATAACTGCTTCAGTGTCTTGATTAATAGAGTTATACAAGTCTTGGACAGCAATTGAGGAAATTTTAATCCTCAAACCGAACCTATTCCAGCTCTGTATGAGATGATGGTGGGGAAATCAAAGATGCTCCAAAATAGAAATGTTAATCTATAAAAGCAGGATGACTGTGGGGGCCAGTCCACGTTTTCCACATCACTGCTTTTTTCTTTATACCCACTGTGTATAGACCTGAYAGATCATCACAATTTAACAAATACACCCAAAAGGTCTGTGTTAGGACTAAAATCATTTCAGAGCAAAGTCTCCAAACCGTTCACAGAAGTGCCTCTTTGCTTTACAACTGGGGTCAGTCCATCAGGATGAAAGACCGTAAATTGTTGTGATAATAAACCATGTCAATCTTCCTGAATCAGAATTAATTTAATTGTTCCCAAAGACGACCCCCATCCCCCTACCCCAGTACCAAATCTGTATTGCTTGATCCATTCCTAAGCTCTAAATCACCATGAATAGTTTGAAAACTCCACAATAAATTATAAACAGGCACACAGAGCTGGCAGAATGAAGGGAAGATGGAAACATTTCAGCCTTTTTTTCAGCCACAGGGAAAAACAACAACAATAACCCCTCTAGCTTGRCTCCTAATTAAAAATCTGGCTAAAGAAAGAAATTGTGGTCTGCTAAGCCAGCTTGCTTTCAAATGAAGGAATCGTGTCTACTATTGTTAATATTTATAATTATTTTTTTCTGGACAAGTCTACATTCCATAAATTGTTAGGCTGTTTTGCAATGCCCTCTGCTGAACTGATTTATCTAACATGGAAAATAAATGGTCACAAATTCGTCAAGAAAATTGCTCACAACTGTACAGTATGTAATCAGTGCATAAAAAGAGGTGCTTTTGCACAACAGAAAAGGACCTTAAACTATGACTCCTAAGTTTAAAAATAAATTAAAAATCACATTATCTAAACCGATGCAGAGTGCATGTCTTTACCCCTTTTAAACTGTACTTTAGCTCACGGATGTGCAACTAAAGGTGTATTCACCAGTGGTGGAGAAAGTACTCAAACACGCCACTGAAGTAAAAGTACAAACAAACAGACAAAATGCACTCTAGTAAAAGTAAAAGTACCACATTAAGATCTTTACTTGAGTAAAAAATGAAAATAATAAAATACTTAAAGTATTAAAAATAAAATTACTTGCTCAATGTATTCCCTAATGGTCTARAATATAATGAAGTGCCTATATATGTATGTTTTTAATTCATCAATTGTGCCATTTCAGTGAACAATGCTGCATATGATGCATGTTTTTGTGTTTACCCTCTGTGACACTTGGACTTGTGATTCTGTGCATCATGGGTGGCGGTGACAGAGTAGTTAGGGGAGTCATCCTGTAACTGGAGGGTTGCCGGTTCGGTCCCCTGTTTCARCTGTCTCAGTTGTTGTGTCCTTGGGCAAGACACTTCACTTGTCTTGCCTACAGATGGTGGTCAGAGGGTCTGGTGCTGCCGGTGCATGGCAGCCCTGCCTCTATAAGACTGCTGTGGTTACAGCTTACCACCATCAGTGTGTGCATGGGTGAATGACTGTAAGTGTAAAGTGCTTTGGGGTCCAACTGAYCATGATAAACTGCTATATAAGTTCAGACCATTTACCATCATCAGAGATTGTGACAACAGTTACAGAAGCTGTAAATTCGCCACCGACCTTCTCTATCAAATCTCCACAAGTTGTTTTATGAACTGGTTAACTTGTCCTTTAAATAAGGCCATGGGTGCCACATTTCCTCTGGCTGATACTGTGGTGGAATCCKTTTTGTGTGCTAGTGCTGCCGTTGATGCTTCAGCAGGTGATGCAGAACCGCAGAACAAAATTTAAATATGCGGTTCACCCTGCAGGACTTTTGTATGGTTTCTGAGTGAGTGACAGCTGTTAAACATGGAAGTAGAAGTGTGATGATGTGGAGCTGGATCCAGGGTTGTGTCTGCTACACCTCTTCCAGTCAGAGTTTCCATCATTTTGCTGTGTCCACTTTTTGCCTTTTTTCTTGCAGCTTCCTGGTGCCCCCCACCCCCCTTTGCGTTTTTTGCAGTTTACCCATTGCTTTCGACGTCTCCCCAACTCCAACATTATTAGAACGTTATTGTGATTGAGCAACACATGCAAATAAGTTCTTTCTCTGAATACGAAAAGCACAATTCAATAATTAAAACAAAGGCTAGTCACTGTCAGTCTGACCAATTTACTACCCACCCTGGAATAATGTTGCTGCTTAAAATCCCTGATGATTTGTTCAACCTAACATCCCTTACATTTGATACCATTTCATCAGTTTACACACCCCTCTGACCTCCTCCTTTTGGTTTGTGGTGTGAAATGCCCCGACTCCCTGCTGTTCTGCAGGAAGACAATCACAGTGTGGTGGGACTGATTGTCTTACCAACACACCCTGTGGGGTGGGTGGTGGGTGCCTGTGGAGGGCTGCATGAGAGAGACAGACTCCAATAACTGCCCTCATGTGCTCACACACATCCTTGAAGAGACACTCTGACAGTGATGGTCACATGGCTCTCCACACACACACACACACACACAAGAAATCATGCATTCTGCATGCACGCTCATTCATCCTTACCTTTCTTTCACCTTCTCAGTTGAGGTCGCTCTTCTCTTTTGCCTTCACTCACGTTTTCGTGGCCTTGATCCGGGTGTGTTCTCTCTTTTAGTGATAAATCAGGCTGTTGCCAAGCTGGCTGCAGCTGAGGCCCTGTGCGTGCGTGCGTGCGTGCGCGTGTGTGTGTGGTTTGGGGGTGCTGTAATGCACAGTATTTTAAATATAAAACAGTGATTCACAAATACAATTTTACACCTATACAAAAATAGTCATTCAACTGGATTRACAAAACTATTTTAAACCTGTTTGGTTGTAAGACTTGACATTTTGTTTTTCTGTGGCATTTCTTTAAAATAAAAKCTGATTAAAGTTTCTGGGTTAATCAAAAGTTCATGAAATAGTTCAAAGAATTCAACAAATACAAATCCACAGCTGTTGACCACAGGCTTGTGAAAATGAAACTAACATTCTTTAAAGGACTGCAAACCATCCATGCAAATATCTCACATGATCTGTTAGCACTCAGGGTATCCAACAAGGATGACTCTCAGGAACACCTAATTTGACCTCAATATTTGTCAAACTAACAGAGTTAAAATTGTGTTTGATATTGCCAAAGTTGGTCAATTCTGGAGGCCATCTAGAATCAGGTAGACTAGAAATGATCAGTTTTTTAATGTTACCTTCTGAGAGTTTCACTAAAACCTGAGCACACAGACAAACCTGGATGACTCTTAATTTCCTGCTTCGAAACTCAGATAAGCCAGATGTTCTTTTTGGACTGGAACATCTCAGGAATACCCTTTGCATCCTTTCACTTCCTGTGAAGGGCATTAATCTGGCCTCCAGTTCCAATGTAAAGAAACTTGGTGTTATTTTTCATCAGGATTTGTCTTTTAACCACCACATTCAGAATGTTACCAGGACTGCCTTTTTCCACCTGTGAGATATCATTAAAATTAGAAACATCTTGTCCAAAAATGAACTACTGCAATTCTTTATTATCTGGGAGTCCTTAAAAATTAAATGAAATGAAGATTCAAGACTTCCACTMATTATTTTTTGTACACTGCACTGACATGACATTTGTGATTTGACGCTATAAAAAAACTGAATATTTTTGCTAACAGACAGATTTGACTCTAACCTTTACTGCCTTAAACAAGAGTAATGTGCAGTGTGGTGAGCTCAACATATATGTTGTGAGTGACTCTCAGCTACCTTCACATTGAATCTTATCTTAATATCTGAGGGCATTTTTTGTGTTTAAAATTAGTTAGCTGTGGCAGCCTTATTGGATAAAATTAACTCCAAAAGTTGGAGATTTAACTTCATTGAAGTCCACCCACTGCGGTTCATCTAATATTTTGCTAATAGATAAACACACATAGAAAACATTCAATTACATCATCATGACAGAGAGTGATAAAAGTATGAATTTCAGAGCTTCCATTAGATGTTGTACTTTTTCCTCCATTTTTTTTTTTTGTTTTAAACCATTGAACCTAATCATGTTCTAATCCAACAAGTAGCTGTATCACTATGTACCAAGTGTCAATTTTCATTCACCGCCAAATGTCAAGTTGTTTGTATGTTTCAAAGGCCTGAAATCATTCCGCTAATACGTCGCCTGCTCTTTTGGCTCTTAGAGGTGGGAGGGGGAAGCAGTATCGCTGATCACAGTTATTATAAGAACATGTTGCTACGTGAAGGCAGGCAGAAACTTTAAACCGTGTCACTTTCTTTACACCKATTTCTCTCACCTTCTTTCTGCTGATGTGAGAGTTATTGATTCGAAGTGTTTTGACGTGCGACGGTTCGCTTACGTTTTTCAAACGCAGAGCCGACAAGATTGATGGGAGTTATGATTCCAAAAGCTGTTATTCGTCACCATTTGACAAATCCATATCTGGCCAAAATGCGGTCACTAGCAGCTGCTCCAATTTTTATGTTTCGCTCCRGATGAAATCCACTGCGTGAGATGTGTGTGTTTGCGTGTGTGTGTGAGTGTGCGGATCTGTGGTAGGAGATGTGTGGTCTCAATTTGACAGCAGAGAGGGATTGACAGTGCAGGATTGGACAACATTTATCTACAACAGAGCTGAGGAAAATAGGTTTGTCCCTGATGACATTTTCATCGATTGAAACATGTGCTGCCCCCCCATCCCACCCACCCCCTGCTGAAAATGACTAATCTTAGGACTTGAGGTAGCGGTTTTGTTCTTGATAGGTCAAGGTGCCATGTTCACACAACATGATGGAATCAAAATAAATTCTCACTTTAATTCCTACATGGATTTTTCCATCTTGCCCTAAGCTGAATTGAACTGAACAAAAAGAGAGAAAAATGGGGAAAAAAAAATCACTTAAATATCAGTCTGCCGCATCAAATGGCCAAGGAGTCGTGGATGAAAAGAAAAAAATACAAGATGAATGTTTTTTATGAGTTATTAAGTTCTTTGAAATGCCACCAATTTAAGAAGAGTGGTCTGTCTTTTTTTTTTTTCAAATGTCTGGCATTACAAGCATAACTTGGTTCACACAGACAGTATGAACACTATTTTAATTTTAATTTTAGAACAACGCACCATAAGGTTGATTTGGACTTATGAAACAGAGTCTTACATCTGCTCGGAGAACCAGTAGAACAATCATTGGACTCAGTGGCTGCAAAGGTAAAACATGATTTAAGACATTGCGCAACTCAGCAGATAGGATTATCATGTTTTTAAAAGCTCTTTCAGATAGTCTACACAGAGACTATATCTCATGTTAGGCTCCAGTTTTGCATCGTTTGATAAAAACACAGCCGTGTCAATCTCTTAACCTACAAAAACTGTGTTGACGAAGACCAAGTCTTTGTCTTTAAGTYTACACTGAGGGGTGGTGTTGATGACACCTGGGTTAAAATTAAACGTTTCACTGACCACATCAACTCTGTGGATAAATKTAWAAAGTTAACACYAAAAGAAAGTWWAAAAAATGGCAGGTTGGTTTTTCTGGACATCTCAGTCTCTAATGGATGGGTTGATCCACACAGACTAGTATTTGTAGTTTGACTTCCATCACCCACTGGAGCACACGGTAGGAGTCATCAGGACTCTGTACAGAGCAGACAGTGTCCCCACAAATTTGGGAGCCAGGGAGAAGGAGAAATCACACTCAAGACAGTCTCTGGAACCGTGTGGTTATCCCAACTGGGCTTTCCTCAAGGCAGACAAAAAAAAACCAAACAGGACTCCAGCCAGCCATGGGGTGAAAAGAAGGACCCCAGACCTAGACCAGTGGTCATTCCATGTTGCGGAAGTTTCAGGGAAATTGGGCCATTTATTTTCTAATCARGGTGTCCCAGTAGCTTTTAAACCCCAAAGCACATTATGGCAAAGACTGGTTTACCCCAAAGATTCGGTGAAGAACCCGGAGGACTGTGACCAGTTACACAGTGGGCAAACAAAGCAGCCACCATTTAAAAGAATGGCCCAACACAGACAAGCTACATCATCAGGCCAGGACTCTGCAGCTTACACTCATCTACAGGCCAGTGGTCAATCTTTCAGGGATGAAGATGTTCTTTTCCTTGATAGAGAGGAACATAAAGGAAGTAAAGGAAGCCATTTTTATGAAGAGAAAACACCCATATTTAAACAGGGGTGGAGGCCTCTGCGTCCAGTTGTCCCTCTCTTATATGCTGAGTATGACTCAGACCCCTGTGAACAATAGGGAAAATCAGAGTCCTTACAATTATTAGGCTGATGGTCCTCTTTTTCATGTGAAGAAACACTTTTGATTGTCATTGATAAAACTGTTTGTCCTCCATGTGTAAGTACTACTTATAAGACTGAGTTTAATTGAAACTCCTCTGACTGAACTTTTTTTTTTTCCCCAACAAAAGAAGAATTCTTCCAGAGGACCTAATCAACATTTTTAAACACCAGTTATTTGGGCACAGTGGGCACGTGCACAGTACTGTAATTTAATTGGATCACTCTTAAAATCAAATCTCCTCAGGGCTCCTCCTCTCTCAATGGGTTGAAACTGTTGTAGACTAGTTTGTGATTTAAAAGTAAAAAACAGGAATTTTCTGTWGCAATCTCACTGAATTTTGAATGTTTGCAACAAATGACCAGTAAGGTATGTGGATGTGWTTTTGCAGCCAGATTTAATGTARCATAGTATATTTTTAATTATTTGGACCAGTTTTTTTAATACTTATTTCTCAACGACATAGTTTTTAGACCTGGACATTCAGGGCTGCAGGTTCTCRAGTTTTCCATCATAAGGTGAGCTCCCATGCAGTTATCAAATAACATACAGTATCTAGCAGTAAGCTAAACTGCCTCTCTGGTTAATGCTCTAAACCATGTCCATTTCTGGTGCTTGAGGGCCACTATRCTGCATGTTTTAGATATTTCTCTGCTCCAACGCACCTGATTTGAATGAATGGGTGATTAACAGGTTTCTGCAGAACATGATGTGTCAAAGTGAAATAAGTAAACATGCAGGATGGTGGCCCTCGAGGACCATGACTGGACACTGCTGCTCTGCAGAAGCACAAGTATACATCTGTCCTTGGTGTAYTGGTCAGCTTCGGTTTCAGGTTTGAGMTCTTTTTGAGTGGAGTTTGCATGTTCTCCCATGAGTTTTCTCTGGGTACTCTGGCTTCCTCCTACAGTCCAAAAACATGCAGGTTCAGGTTAAGTGGACACTCTGAGTTGTTCCAGGGAGTGAGTTTGTGTGTGTTGTTTTGTCTTGTCTTCATGTGGCCCTGCGATGGACTGGTGACCTTTCCAGGTGTACCCTGCTTTCACCCAAAGTGAGCTGAGATAATCTCCAACACCTGCACCCCACCCCCAACCTTAAGTAGGAAGAAGCACCAGATAATAGGTGATGAATGGGTATCTTTAAAACCTGTTTTATCCGTTTGTCTATTTTGTGCAAAAATATACAAAAACAAAATCAC